ATCCATTCTATAAGAAAAAAAATATGTATTTCTTTTGCTCTCCAAGCACTCAAATCCAAAAGAAATAATACTACCCAGTACGGCTCTCTTTAAGGCTGCTCTTGCACTGAAGAAAAGTAAAGGAGCCTGTGTGGCAGGCTGGCAGTCCCCTCCTCACTCTGCATCTGAGTTTCTGGTTAGAGATGGAGACAAAGGCAACTCCAGATGCTGCAGTGGTCCACAAACAGCCTCAATCACAGACATGACTTGTGTGTGTGCATCAGAAGGAGAGCACAGAGCACTATGTAAGGGAGGAATACAATGAACAAAAAGGAAAGGATGTGAATGGACATAGCAAAGAATTTCCCCACTCTGCTGATCATGATCTCGAGGATGTCCAGGCCAGAATTCCATTTCACTTTGGAAAACCCACTCCTTGAAGTTTTCTCCTCCTAGGTGTATTCTTCTGTGAGGAATCTGTCCTCCTGTGAGAGAGGGCACCACCACAAATTGAAAACCAGTCAAAAAGCAGAGTGATGGCTTTAATTCTCAGAGGTGAATGGACAACCCCATCTATGAATTCTGCATTAAAAAATAAGCTTCCTTCTGCTCTAGGAATCTGATGTAGGTTTGGGCTAAAATGAGAAACACGGAGACCAGCTGGGTCTGTTAGGTGAGAAGAAAGGAAGCTTGATTTCCAGTTGTTACTTGTAGCATGTTAGTTTTGAGAGGATTTCATTTTCCACTTCTAGTTGAAGAAATGGAAAGGTAGAATCAGTGCCAGCCTAACACACAGCAGCTTTAGCCACTGATGACATCACAGCTTGCTCCCCAAAAGTGGCAGCCAAAATAAACTCAACAAATGAGAACCAAAATAAAACAGAAGAGTCTACCATAATACCAACATTTGTTCAGCAGATATTACCCAGATCTTGTCACACAAGTCACCAGGATAAAGGGTAGGGCTGGCTTTGTAGCACAGTGGATTAAACCACCACCAAATAAAATGCTGGGATCCAATATGTGTGTCCATCCTTTAAAAAAGATTTATTCATTTGAAAGTCAGAGTTTTGGGGGCCAGTGCTGTGGCACAGCTGGTTGAGACACTGGCCTGCATCCCATATGGTCCCTGGTTCAGGTCTTGGCTGCTCCACTTCCAACCCAGCTGCCTGCTAATGTGCTTGGGAAAGTGGCACAGTATGGCCCAAGTCCTTGGTCCCCTATATCCACGTGGGAAATCCGAAGAAGCTACTGGCTCCTGGTTTCAGATCAGCTCAGATCTGGTCACTGTGGCCATTTGGGGAGTGAACCAGCAGACTGAAGACCTCTCTATCTGTCTCTATCTCTATCAGTAACTCTGTCAAATAAATAAAATACATCTTAAAAAAAAGTCAGAGTTATGGAGAGGAGGGAGAGTCAGATGGGATGGCATTGTGGACTAGCAGGTAAAGCTGCTGCCTGCAGTGCTGGCATCTGGTATAGGCACCGGTTCATATCCTGGCTGCTCCACTTCTGATCCAGTTCTCTGCTAGTGGCCCTGGAAAAGTAGAAGATGGCCCAATACCTGGGTCCTTGACAGCCAAGTGGGAGACCTGGATGAAGCTCTTGGTGCCTGGCTTGGGCCTGGCCCAGTCTTGGCCATTGCAGCCATCTAGGAAGTAGACAAACAGATGGAAAATTTCTTTCTCATTCTCTCCCTTTCTCTATTTCTGCCTTGTAAATAAATAAATAAATGCTAAAAAAGAGAGAGATCTTCCATCTGAGATGGCTGCCATGGCCAGGGCTGAAGCACACAGAAACCAGGAGCCAGGCACTTCATCTGGGTCTCCCACATGGGTTACAATGGCCCCAACACTTGAGTCATCTGCTGCTGCTTTTCTCAGACCATCAGCAGGGAGCTAGATTAGAAGTGGAGCAACTGGGACATGAACGGCTGTTCATCTGGGAAGCTGGCATTGCAGATGGTGGCTTTCCCCACTGTGCCACAATGCCAGCCGAGTCACAGCTGTTCCACTTCTGATCCAGCTCCCTGCTAATGCAACTAGGGAAGCAGAAACAGATGGCACAAGTACTTGGGTCCTTGCACCAATGTGGGACACTGGGTTGGACTTCCAGGCTGGGCCAGCATTATTCATTGCAGTCTCTTGAGTGAACCAGCAGATGCAAGATCCCCATCCTTCTGTCTCTGCCTCTTTCTCTGTAACTCTGCCTTTAAAATAAAATTTTTAAATCATAATAAAATAAAGAGAGAGGGTGAGAGAGTAGCCACAGTAAAGTAACAGAGCAAAGCTACAGTTGTGCTGTCCCTCAGCAGCCTTCTGCCTTAAGTGGGAAGTCTCCAGCTTACAGACACTGACATAAAAGACACATTCACAACACATTCCAAAACAAGGGATGAGAGGTTTATAAGGCATATTGACTTTATGATGACTTTCATTCATTAGGTACACTGGGTTTAGATATATGCCTTTTGTGCAGCCAAGTTAACCCAGGGTCTAATTCAAAGAGATGTACTGAGGAAGATGTGCTGCCAGGGGAGAGAGCTGCAATATCCCACTGCTCTTGTAACATCATAAAGAGAAGGAAAAGAAACGGCGCCATGGCTCACTAGGCTAATCCTCCACCTTGCGGCACCGGAACACTGGGTTCTAGTCCCGGTTGGGGTGCCGGATTCTGTCCCAGTTGCCCCTCTTCCAGGCCAGCCCTCTGCTATGGCCTGGGAGTGCAGTGGAGGATGGCCCAGGTGCTTGGGCCCTGCACCCCATGGGAGACCAGGAGAAGCACCTGCCTCCTGCCTTTGGATCAGCGTGGTGTGCCGGCCACGGTGGCCACTGGAGGGTGAAGCAATGGCAAAGGAAGACCTTTCTCTCTGTCTCTTTCTCACTGTCCACTCTGCCTGTTTAAAAAAAAAAAAAAAGAGAGAGAGAGAGAGAGAGAAGGAAAAGGGCTACTTATGTCCATGCTTGTAAGGAGGACAGAAGCACAAACATTTCAGAAAGGGGGAGCAAATTACAAATATAGTAATTTTAGGAAAATAAAAGGAAGTAAATTTCAGAATATAATGTGGGGTAGAAACACACCATCAGCTCATCAATTCTCAAGGGATCCAGGAAAACTGCCCTGCCTACCCACAGACCAAATGTTTCAAAACACATTTTTTGATTAAATTCAGGAGATTACGGGACTCAGCACTCTGGGTGTTCAAATGCCAAATTAAGTTTTAGTTTCCACTATGGGCAGATGTAGCCAATCACTCAGATCATGAGAAAAACTTTTCCATAAGAAGGAACATGAAATATTCAGTCACACAGAATAACTGTGATTAGTGCACAAAGTGAACCCCAGGATAAGCACCCAGAAAACCTGTTAGGTCTTGGGGCCAGCTCCATGGTGTAGCATGTAAAAATTTATTTATTTATTTAAAAGGCAGAGTTACAGAGAGGCAGAGGCACAGAGAGAGGTCTTTCATGCATTGATTCACTCTGAAAATGGCTGCAATAGCCAGAGCTGGATTTATCTGAAGCCAGGAGCCAGAAGCTTCTGTCAGGTCTCCCATGTGGGTGCAGAACCCAAGAACTTGGGCCATCTTTCACTGCTTTCCCAGGCCACGGCAGAAAGCTGGATCTCAAACAAGCACACATATGGGATGGCAGCACTGTAGGTGGCAGCCTCACCTGCCATGCCACAGTGCCAGTCCTCAAAATAAGCCTATTTTAAAAAGCATTTTAAATGAGGGATGGGAGAGTTTGTTTATCCAAAGCAAGGATAGCATAAGATAACTACTACACAGAAGAAGCTCCTGGCTCCTGGCTTTGGATCGGCACAGCTCCGACCACTGTAGCCAATTGGGGAGTGAACTAGCATATGAAGACTTATCTCTCTCTGCCTCTCCTCTCTGTAACTCTGACTTTCAAGTAAAATAAATAAATCTTTAAAAAAAATAAGATAACTACTAGTACTCATTAACTTAAAAAATATAGAAATTTAATGAAATTCAAAATATAACCAAAATCATCATCTACTACAAATTATAATCTTTATTTTGAGAGTCATATTAGAAAAAATTTAACCCCTCCCCCTCTTTGAAAAATGCACATGGGACTGGTGTAGTAGGTTAAGCAGACCCTGGCAGTGCCAGCACCCCACATGGGCACTGGTTCAAGACCTGGCTGCTTCATTTCCAATATAGCTCCCTACTAATTCACCTGGGAAAGCAGAGGATAATGGCCCAAGTGTTTGGGCCCCTGAAATCAAGTGTGAGAACCAGAAGAAGCTCCTAGCTTCTGGTTTTAGCCTGGCCCAGCCCAAGTCATTGTGGCCATCTGAGGAGTGAACCAATGGATGGAAGACCTCTCTGTGTCTCTCTGTAAATCTGCCTTTCAAGTAAATAAAATACATTAAAAAAAACCCTATACAATGTAGTATTTTGGTGATTCCCTCATACAAGGAAAGCTCAGATAAACTGTAGAGGAATCCTCCTGGCTTGATGCAATTCAGAAGGAGGATTGCCTTACTTAATGTATACTGAGATGATCTTCTGTATATTAAGATAATCAAAAATGAATCTTGATGTGAATGGAAGGGGAGAGGGAGTGGGAAAGGGGAGGGTTGTGGGTGGGAGGGACGGTATGGGGGGGAAGCCATTGTAATCCATAAATCGTACTTTGGAAATTTATATTCATTAAATAAAAGTTAAAAAAAAAAGAAGGAGGATTGCTTCTGTCACCCTGTGGTAGACATCAATGAGAGTTATTAATGGGAAGATGAATGGACACATCAGACTGCTTCCTCACATGGCACCTTTTCTTAAAGACATCACTGCTGCATTACCAGATTATGTCTCTCATGTGAAATATGTCTCTCCTAAAAATTTTAAAGAACTTGCCAGAAACTTATTGCAGAGCAGGGAATGATGTGCCAAGGACAGTGAGTTAGCCTGAGTAGTCCAGCAATCCTGTTCTTGGCTGTTTTCAAGTTCGTATTAATGTACACACAACATAGTTGCTGAGAAAGTGTCTTACAGTTGTTTCCTGGGTGTGAAGCAGCTCTTCTCAGCAGAAACACATCACTGCTTGCCCACTCGCAAGCACTGTGATAGGGAGTACATGCGAGAAAAGGTCAAAACACACTGGGTTTGAGAGGAAGAATGCTGTCACCCTAGCAACCTCTATCCAGGAGTCCCTTTCTATTCTTACTTCCTAGGTAACCTTACTATGCTAAATGAGTTTCACAGATTAGTAATCTGGTGACAACAGGACTCTAACAGAATCTATGAATCACTCAGTTAATCAAGTGAAAACTTCATTACACTGAAAGTTAGTCTATAGCAATAGTTTTCAGGGCCACATCTCTCTTTTTTTAAAAGATGTTTTATTTATTTATTTGAGAGGTAGAATTACAGATAGTGAGATGGATAGACAGACAGAAAGGTCTTCCTTCTGCTGGTTCACTCCCCAGTTGGTCAAAATGGCCAGAAGAGCTGCACTGTTCTAAAGCCAGGAGCCAGGAGTTTCTTCTGGGTCTCCCACATGGGTGCAGAGGCCCAAGCACTTGGGCCATCTTCTACTGCCTTCCCAGGCCATAGCAGAGAGCTGGATCAGAGGAGCAGCTGGGACTCGAACTGGTTCCCATATGGGATGCTGGCACCACAGGCAGAGGATTAACCTACTGAGCCACAGTGCCAGCCCAAAGCCACATCTTTTACCGTACTGTGTGGGCATCTCTGTGGGGGAGAGGGCCACATTTTCTCTTTTCTTCCTTACCCATCTTCACATTAACACCTTGTACAAAGGCGTCCACAAACCAGTCATTTTGAAAATCTATCACTAATATCCTCCCGTGTTGAAAATGTCATGGGGTTAAACACAGAACCCAGAATAAGAAAAGTAACTTGAAGCTGGTGTTGTGGCTGAGCGGGTAAAACCATATGGGTGCTGGTTCAAGACCTGGCTGCTCCACTTCTGATCCAGCTCTCTGCTATGGCCTGGGAAAGCAGTGGAAGTTGGCCCATGTGCTAGGTCCCCTGTACCTGTGTGAGAGACCTGGAAGAAGGTTCTGGCTTCTAGCTTCAGATCCATGCAGTTCTGGCCATTGTGACCATCTGGGGAGTAAACCAGCAGATGGGAGCTCACTCTCTCTCTTTCTCTGTGTGTGTGTGTGTCTTTGCCTCTCTGTAACTCTGCCTTTAAAATAAATAAATAATTTTTTTTTTAAAGTAACTGGCCAGCGCCGTGGCTCACTTGGTTAATCCTCTGCCTGCAGTGCTGGCATCCCATATGCACACTGGATTCTGTCCCATTTGCTCCTCTTCCAGTCCAGTTCTCTACTGTGGCCCAAGTGCTTCGGCCCCTGCACCTACGTGGGAGACCAGGAGGAAGCACCTGGCTCCTGGCTTCAGATCAGCACAGCGTGCCAGCCATAGTGGCCATTTGGGGGGTGACCACCAGAAGGAAGACCTTCCTCTCTAACTCTGCGTGTCAAATTAAAAAAAAAAAAGTAACTGGCCCCCTTAATTAAAACCATATGGACTGTAAGATAATCAGCTTGGTGGAGCATTGAGTGACTGTAAAGAACTAGACAAGAAAAATTGATACTTTTCTGTATTTACGTTTTCATTGCTCTCCACTATGAAAATCCAGATTGAAGTAGCTCATTATTAACTCACACGGTAGACTTGCATTAATTTCAGTTCACTTCTCACTTTGCAAAGGGATTAGCAGCAGGTAATAAAAGTTCACATCCCTAATAACATGAGAAGAAAGAAGGGTTGAAGACAGAAATCGAAACGCAGGAAAATAAATCAGGTAGGTTTCCATGGCCTCAAGCTCCAGATTGAAAAAGAGTCTGTTAATTAAACACGGAGGAGCGATCAATCCACAAAGCTACTGCACAAGCTTCACGTGCTGCTGGGAAAGTCAGCCAAACACATAGCGCCCCAGCTGAAAATGTGTCCGCGGGGTCCAGCATGGGGGCCAGGAGCCAGAGCCTACTCTGATCTGCCATCTCCACCTCTCCACTGCCTCAGGCTCTGGCTGAGGGCCGCCGAGCCCCGCCCAGCTGGAACTACCAGGGGATATAGCCGGAGGCCAGCCACAAGGCATTCTCTGACCCACCCAAAGTGAGAACTGGGCTTATTTAAATCTAGGGAATGGGACTCCTTCCTTCAGCGTGCTCTCAACTGCCCTGCTGGTGCCGTTCCTCGTCCAGTGTACTTTAAGGAGAATTTGAGCGAGGCAGCCCGTGGGACCGGCCGTGCATCGGCAGACTGGGAAGTGGTGGTGGGAGACACAACACCTGGGCTCCAGCCTTGACTCTGCCGGAGAAGCTCCCAGCATCACTGAGAAGCAAGTGATCAATGTCTGGGAGCCACCACCCGCCATCGCAACCTCCCCTCTCCCACACACATCTGTGCCCCTCCTGTTCTCCATACTTGCTGTGGAAAATCTCGGGAGCACGTCCCCTTCCTTCAGGACACACGGGGAGCAAAGCGGAGAGTGTGGGACAGGAGAAGTCGCTGGAACTTGGGGCCCACGGTGGCAGATGCAGAGGCACAGAAGCAGCGGGCGGCAGGTCTGGGGTGTGTGCTCCCGAACCGCCTGCAATTGCACTTGCACAGCAAGTCTCCCCAGTGAATGTGGGAGAAGGAGCAGCGCGGCCTCTCAGGGACCTCTCTGATCAGTAAAAGAACTTCTGTTCCCAGCCCCGAGCCACAGGGAAAGGCACGCATGCGCACGTTCTCCCACATGCACACGCACAGGCGTTCAGAGCAGGAAACGTTAGAGCACCGGGTGACTCTGGGAAATGGAGTCCAGGCCAGGGCATTCCTAGATAGACTTACTGGCCCTCTCCTAGGGCTTCAGTGCGGGGTGGGTGGAGACAGGCTGGGAACCAGAGAGCGTTTGCTTTTGTTTACATCCCTCCTTCCCTTCCTTCCCACCCCAGATCTCAAGGGTCAGCTGCTGTTCTTCCTTTCTTGAACAAAATCTTAAGAAGTGACAGCCACTGCTGCTGAGTCCCAAATCCCGGTTCCCTCACACACGCTGTTTCCCTCAGGAAAATCCCCTGCTGCTTTATTCCTGGACAGCTTCTCTCAAGTAACCCATGACAAGGATTTCAATGTAACTCTCAGCACAGGTGTACACGGCACAGTTTAACATCTAGATTTGAGAATACAATTTTTACTTGTGTCTTTATTTGTGGTTCTTTTCAAAGCATTTTACACCACCCTCTAATTCACCAAGTACAAAAAAAAAAAAAAAGGAAGAAAAAAAGAGAACTGGATACAGGACTAACATTGCCAAGTATCTTCTAGAGTCCAGATTAACAGAGTAAATGCCTTACTTTGTATCAATTATACCTTAGGTTAATTCTGGAGACCATATTCTCAATTTACAAAGAGAAAGCTGAGGTGGAAAGAGATTAGAATTGAATTTGCCCATGGAAGTATGGTAAAAAAAAAAAAAAAAAAAGTCTAGGTTAAAGGCCAACCAACATGAAATATTGGTTTAAGAAGTCTTTTGGGACCAGCACTGTGGCATAGTGGGCTAAGCCTCCGCCTTCAGCACCAACATTCTATACAGGGGCTAGTTCAAGTCCCTGCTGCTCCGCTTCCAATACAGCTTTCTGCTGTAGCCTGGGAAAGCAGCAGAAGATGGCCCGAATGCCTGGGACCCTGCATCCACATCAGAGACCCAGAATTTCCTGGCTCCTGGCTTTGGATCAGCTTAACTATGGCTATTGCAGCCATTTGGGGAGTGAACCAGTGCATGGAAGACTTCTCTCTCTCTCTCTCTCTCTCTCTCTCTCTCTCTCTGCCTCTGCCTCTCTGTAACTCTGCCTTTCAAATAAAAAAAATCTTCTTTTAAAAAAAGAAATATTTCTTTTATCTTGGAGCTCAGTTTCTAAAACCCCAGATTTCTCATCTCTAAAATAAAAAGTGAGGGAGAGGAAGAGTATCTACAATCCTAATCTTCACTGTAGAGAAACACATAGGATTATAACTTATCTAAAAAAGAAAGGAGGTTCAAAATTGCTATTGCTGTATGGTTATTTTTCTCATGCTTAATATCAAGATAGCATATAAATATTATGCATTCTTAGGTATATTTGTGGTGTTTGATTTTTAAGATTTTAAGTAGAAATGTAAATGGAAGCAGGATGACATGGAGTTCTGTTTGTGATTACTTCTGTCAATTATAATTCATGGGATTAGAATTGCTGGATTAGGAATGCTTAAATGTATCCATTCATTTCACACTAATGTTTATTATGTCAGGTGATATTCTTTGTGTAGACTGCTTTTTCTTGCCAGATTGAAAATTCAGGAGGGCAAGAAACATGTTTGCTTTGACATTGAAACTCAGCATCTTGATAGAGTCATTCTTTTAGTTGAATGAATAAATGAGGCTATAAAAATTAAACAAATACAATTTCTGTTCCCCAATAACTACCTAGTTGAAGAGATAATGAAATAGATATCTATTTGATAACACACACAATTAGATGAATGTATAATTTGTTGCTCAGAGACAACTTTGATAATAAAAGAGACATATTCATAATGACACAGGGTTGAAATGTATAAACAGAAACCATCCAGGGCCAAGCAGGCTTAAATGTTCACCCTAGCTTTGTAAGGCATTCCATTCATTATTTAGTAAGCATTTACTGAGCATTCTTTTGTGTGGTGTGTTGAAAGAACTACCAGCCACATGATTTTCCTAGTTATTGGAGTAAGAGAACCTGAGCAATCAGAAAAATGTTTGGATGAACTAAGAGGCTTTACACAAAGGTAAGAAAAACAAAAAGCAGAGAGGTCAATTAAAAAGTATATCAAAGGTAATTTAGTAGGACCTGAACCAAGGTATGCTGGTAGTGGGAATGAAGAAGAGGTAACAGATTACAGGGAGATCCAAAAGGCAGAAACAACAGGATTTCAATGGTAGATGAAAGCAGGAGGGAACTCGTGTGTAAATCTTCATTTGGATTTTATTATTTAATGGACAAGGAGTTCTCAGTACATTCATGTTCATCAGTAATAAAAGGCTACCTCCAACTGACTTATAAACGTCCCCTAAATCCAGCACACAATCTCATGGGTAGCTACTATCTATAAGCCTTATGTTGATCATCAAGCCAAATATTTTTAACTGCTACAATCTACAATGGTCCTCATTATGATGCAGTTACTTAGAAACTAGAAGACATAATCCATTTCTCTAAATAAAAAAGTAAAATTCAGGGGCTGGCGGTGTGGCACAGCAGGTTAACACCTAGGCCTGAAGTGCTGGCATCCCATATGGGCCCCTGTTCAAGACCTGGCTGCTCCACTTTTAATCCAGCTCTCTGCTATGGCCTGGGAAAGCAGTAGAGGATACTTGGTCCCCTGCACCCACATGGGAGACCTGGAGGAAGCTCCTGGCTGCTGGCTTTGAATCAGCACACTTCTGGCCATTGTGGCCAATTGGAGAGTGAACCATCAGATAGAAGACCTCTCTCTCTCTCTCTCTCTCTCTCTCTCTCTGCCTCCCCTCTCTCTGTGTAACTCTGATTTTGAAATAAATAAGCAAATAAATATTTTTTAAAAAGAGTAGTAATGGTCAATATTTATAAAAAGGCCAGCGCCGTGGCTCAATAGGCTAATCCTCCAACTTGCGGCACCGGAACACCAGATTCTAGTCCCGGATGGGGCGCCGGATTCTGTCCCGGTTGCCCCTCTTCCAGGCCAGCTCTCTGCTGTGGCCAGGGAGTGCAGTGGAGAATGGCCCAAGTGCTTGGGCCCTGCACCCCACGGGAGACCAGGAGAAGCACCTGTCTCCTGCCTTCGGATCAGCGCGGTGTACCGGCCGCAGCACGCCGGCCACAGTGGCCATTGGAGGGTTTAACCAATGGTAAAAGGAAGACCTTTCTCTCTATCTCCCTCTCTCACTGTCCACTCTGCCTGTCAAAAAAAAAATTTATAAAAAAAAGTTAAGTTAAAAAACCCCCAAACTCATATATTTCAAAGCTAAATTTGGAATACCTGCCTAATTCACAATTTATAGATTCATCAACCTTAGGTAACTAAAGCACAATTAAGCAGAAAGAAGTAAAAAAAATTCCTTGGGGAGGGGCCAGCACTATGGCATTGTGGGTAAAGCTGCCACCTGCAGTGTGGCATCCCATATGGGCATCGGTTCAAGTCCTGGCTGCTCCACTTCTGATCCAGCTCTCTGCTATGGCCTGGGAAAGCAGTAGAAGATGGCCCAAGGCCTTGGGCCCCTGCACCCATGTGGGAGACCTGGAAGAGGCTCCTGGCTCCTGGCTTCAGATTGACACAGCTCCGACCATAGCAGCCAATTGGGAATGAACCAACGGATGGAGGACCTTTCCCTCTCTTTCTTCCTCTCCTTCTCTCTCTGTGTAACTATTTCAAATAAATAAGTAAATCTTTAAAAAACAATTTCCTGGAATAGCCAAAATGCACATTATAAAGTCCAAGTAAGGTGTCTAGCCACTGGCTCACCATCATGACTCATAAAAACTCACTGTCCTGGCTATTCTGATATGAGTGGATGGACACAAAGCAGAAAAGAAAGCAATAGGTTTGAGCAGTGAATAAATGGAAAGGGCTCCAACA